GGGGAGGGAGGGGGGAAGAGGGGTCTGTAGCATGGGTGGACCAGTTTACAGGCAGGAAAGAGTAACCGGTATCCCCGAGAACCGGTTGGCCGAGAAGGTAGGCGGTAAAAATTGGTAAACAAGTGAGGCTGGCTTTATCGTACCACCCTTCGTGTCTGCATACGCTATCGATCAAAAGTTTGGCTGTAGCGTATCGTGAAACGTTACAAAATGGAGCGTGAACGTTTGATCGTTCCTAAACTTTCAATCCACGTAGGAGAGAATAGAGTAGTAGCGGGTCATTGGCTATTTCTCTGTAAACTCGATTTGTATTTGGTAACATTTACGATTCAAGTTTTATAGCCATCCGTCCGTTCGACGATGTTTAACCTTTTAATTTTATTTTATTTTATTTATTTTTTTTTTTTTCCTTTTTAACGTATTTTCGAACTCGAAATTTTTAGGTTTATAAATGTTAAAGGTAATCCAAGTGAAATTTGTGTGGATTAATCCTCTGATTCGAAGATTATTTCAAGAGAATATTAATGGAAGAATAAATTAAATAAATTATATTATCGAGTCTATCTACATTGAAGAAGCGAAAGTAGTATCATAATCTATACGGGAGCTCGCGAGCAGTTATAGAGTTGATTACACGCCAAGAAAATTGTTACAACTCGTTCACCCTAATTCCGAGCTGGCCAGTCAAGTCCTTGTCTGAAAATAAATTGCGATTTTTATTAAAACATTGTTTATTTACACTTACACGGGTTATTTATATTACACATTTATATTATATTTATTACTATTTTTTATGACGCAATATCAACTTAAAACACGAATATCACACTAACGAAAATTTTGCAAGAAAATTATATACGATCCTGTTAAAATTTTGAAAGTTAAATTTACGACAAATCAAATTTTCAAAGCAGAAACAACTTGTTTCTCATCGTTTCTATCTTTCAATCTTAAAATATAAAATTAAGAAGCTTCAACGATTAAATATTCACATTATCGTGTTCACAGGATATATGGACAATATATTATCGTAACTATTATCTAAACTAATCCGTGTTACTCGTTAACCAAAACTCGGTTATCCTCGATTAGTTGTGCGTTAATACACGTTGATCTTTTCCAATTACATAGGTAACCACTTAAAGCAAACCGTGCACACTGTGCACTCATACATCGCAATCATCGTCGGTGCACACTTTCGACTTTCCGTGTACCCATTAATTAGATTAGCATATGCCGGAAAAAGGTGCTGTCTGCCTATATCCGCCTGCGGCGACGATATCACTGGTGGAGGTTACCCGTTAATGGCATTATGAGATCATCCGTGAGCAACTGCAACGCTCCGCCTAGAGTGCACATCCCTCCACCTCCACTACTACACGACCTCGTTACAATGATCTCTTATGCGCCACTTTTATCGTTATCGAATCTGTTTACAAGCGTCCATATGATCTCGCGCCAAAACTTTACCCATTGAATCTTATATTTTTACGCAATTTTTATCATTCGAACAATTGCGATCGAATTAAAAAAAATGGCATTAAATCATCGAGGAACTATCAAGGAATCGATAACGGTTGTTGGACACGCGTGTGTATATGTATATATATATATATATACATATGTATATATACGAGCGACGAAACATCAATAATTTGGTCGTCCGGGATTCCTCGGTCGGCCCACTTATTCCGCATTCTTGGTGCGGGTATCCTAGAGTCGACCCTACGCCACTGGCGCACCAACGACGACACAAAGCCCGGAGCGACGGCGCAAACTATTTATTTCATGAGCTTCCCCCTCCCTGCCCCCTCCCCCCGCGTGGCCGACCGCCTCCCCCTTTTAATGCTCGCCTGTGTATACACGAGTCGTAGATCACCGGCCGGTGCTACATAAGGGGAAGTGGTCGGTATGTGAGGAAGGCACATGCGGAGACTACATAAGGGGACACATAATGTGCGTGGCCATGTGCATCCGGCGGAATGCGACGGCCTAGGTGAAATGTCTGGTCCCGTGCCAGAGACTTTAACCTCGATTCACAATAAAACAGGCTGGAATCTTCTTTTCTGGCATCGAGGCTAAGAGAGAGAGAGAGAGAGAGGGAGGGAGGTCGTCGCGACCTGTCCCAGGCATATTCTTTCAACCGTGTTGCCGAAGGGAAACGAGAGCCGCGTGGAAAAAATAGGGTTATAGATACGCGAATAATCCTTCCGCCCAGGCTATTCCCATCGATCGATAATATTTCTCCTCTCTCTCTTTCTTTCTCTCTGCTCCTCGAAACCCGATGGAACGAATATCGAGCCGCTTCGAAACTCGAAGAGTTGGCCGTTCAAAGTCCTCTTATCAGAGGCAATCTCATCGGAGGCAATTCCCGATCACCTTTTCGTATATTCACGACCTACACCGGCTTTTAATTTCTCTTGAGGCGGTCTATCTATCTATCTCTCTCTTTCTCTCTCTCTCTCTCTGTCTTTCTCTTTCTCTCTCCCTTCGAGTCTCGAGAATATTCGCCGATAATCCAACCGCGCGTATCCTTTCCACGCTCGTAAATTCGCCTACGTCCCGCCTTCTTTCTTATTTCCTTCCTCACCCGTACCTACACACGGTCGCCTCGACGTTTTTGTCGCGCGCGTTTGCGGTTGGCGAGAGAAGAAAAAAAACACTTCCACGAATATTCGAAACATTGCTCGAAAGAATATTAACGTCGTAATTTTTATTTCGTTACGTCGATCTTTTGTTTCAGAAATTATATACACCTCGTGAACTATCTATATTTTGGTATTAGGATTTGCTCGGATCACCCTGTATACGGAACGCTGCGAACGGCGTTTATCTCTAGTACCGTCCGCGCTGTCGCGTTTATCTACGGTAATAAATGCGCCGGTTGAACAAAGACGCGGACCGCCTGAACCCCGTTTATTCGCAACCCTGTCCAAGTTAGCCTCGTCGCGTGACTTTACGACCGGGAACAAATGGGGCCAGACTGACGTTACGATCATGCATCCGCAGAAGAAAATATAGGCGTAGTAAAGGAATGCTTCTGAATCGAATATTTTATCGAGGATTTTATATCATTAATTTTCATCGTTATTTTAATATAAATCGGACGGCGATGGTTGAGCTTGTTTTTCCTTCTTGTGTGTTCCAGCCGAGACCTGGAAGGAGGCCCCGAGGACGTCCTGGAAACGCCACACAGTTGCACACAGCGCCTAGGATACAAAGCCCTATTTCTCAGCATCTCGAGAAAGGTAGGCACTCTAAATATGAACATTCGTCGTTCGGGCGAATCGGGAGAAGGATTAAAGCAAACGTTGGCGATTATTTAGAAAAACGGGTTTTTCTTTTTGCTCGCTGATTTTAATGATTTTAAAATTGGAAAAGATTGCTATTATTATCTATTGTTTTTGTAGACATATCTCGTCCAAAATATATAATGTTAATTAATAATCAACCATTTATCGGTAAAGAGGTATTCCAAGAATTCTTCGAATTCGAACGGAATGCGAAAATAAAATAAACAATTCTTAGGCAAGCGAAATTACGTGAGCTTATCTTATACTTAATATTTACGATTTAATAACCATTTCTATTTTATTTTCCACGATATATACAATTCGAGGAAACGGAATATGTTATATGTATTGTCACACAAATAGCAATCTTTTTTATTTTAAATTTCGAAAACTAAGTTCTCGATAGAAAAAAAATTTTTTATACAAAAAAAAATCATCGAAATGAGAAAGTTTCTTTTTCAATGAACATTTACCAAAATTTATCTAACTCGTAATCTTCTACGAGTACGAGTGACGAAGATAGAGAAATGAGTAGAGTAGAATCGTAATAAAGATCGGGGAAGATTCATTGATTAAACTGGTCGTGAGTAGAGAGAGCGAGATGGAATTAGGGCTTAAAGTGCATCGCCCCTCTGGGGGCAAGAAGGGGGATTTGGGAGGAGGGGGTGCGTGTATAGAAAAAGAGCAGGCCGTGAAAGGGAAAGGAGAAGTTAAGGGCGGGACGGAATAGAGGGGCGAAAAAAAGGTTGAGTGGGAAGGATGGAAAAGATATCTGGGTAGGCAGGGAGGCGCGCCAAGGGGAATAAATGATTCGAGGAACTATAAGAAGAACCGGTCCACAAACAAAAGACTCGTTGCCAGGTCTGGTTGAATCTCTGGTTTTAAGGGGCGAGGGGGGAGTGAAGGGAATAGTAGGAGGGATTTCAGCTAGGAAGGAAGTGCTGACTCTCGAGGCGGGAGAGGTTGCCGATGTTGATGGAACGAAATTGTGGGATTCTGAATCCTTTTGTCCGAAACAAACACTTCTCGATCCATCCGTGTTGTTTCGTTTTTTTTTCCTTTCTCTCTCTTTTTCACTCGTTCCTCATTATCGTTTCTCTAGGTTACTCGAACTTTTAACGCCATTGTTATTCCTTCCTTCCTCTGTTATCACGTAAGATCATTTGAAGCGGTTAATAAACCGATCGAAATCATTTTTGTTTCTCATCGAACGCCATCTTTTTGTCACGGATGAGACAAATAACAGTTCGAAAGTTATTATTACACTTAACAGAAATATAAATTATATAGATTTATAAATAATTCGAGGGATAATTTACTTTAAATTATAATTAAACCGTCGTTCGAAAAATCATCGTCCCGATCGTTCCATTAATGAAAATTAATAATTAACGCGATAGATCCACGATCTATTTGGTACAATAAGATATTATTTATACCTCATCGCGTGTAATCAAATTTAATCCGTCCAAAAAATTCAGTTATGCGTCAGATTATTCGAATTGTTAAATATTAGGAGGTTAATTTTAGGCATCCTTAATGAATTAAAATTAAATCAATTAAGGATTCGAGGCGCTTTCGTATTCTTGGCTGCTCGGCGAATACCTGAATAATTGACACGCTGTCCCGTATTTTAAATGTCAAATTTAAACCAACAACCAGCAACCGTACAGTGAAGTGAAATTTCAACTGTAATCCGATTTTCGTCGCGGCATTGCTCCCCAATTACGGATACCGGCATAGTATATTTATCAACGGAAATTGGCCCCTACAATATGATTTACCCCAGGAAATTAACGGAAAGACCACCACTGGGCACGGACAGTCGGAAGCGATTCCCTCAATGCTACTTAAGCAAAATCATTATCGGCAGAATTCTATTTTCAAATCTCTTCCCAACGGCCAGTTTGCTAAATTGCTAAAATTATTTATCCCACAGTTGCATTATCTATTCATAGCCATTGAGGAATAAATTTCATTCTGTTGTTTAACTGTCCTGAGGCTTGGCACATTGTCATTGACGTGTTGGCCACTACCACCGGTGTTCATCACCGGTGTTACTTAATCTCTTGAAATAAACTTGAATGTAAATTTTAAATAACTTTGTCGTATAAAAGTACTATTCAATAATAATAATAATAATAATAAGAATAATAACAACAACGGAATGCCCCTGAGAAATTGTTGAATATACGAAATAAATAATTGATTGTTGAGAAACGTGAAATACTATGGATATCAAAGTATAATGATATTGATATCTGACAAAGAGTACAAAAAAAAAAAAAATAATAATAATAATTAGCATTTCCTTTCTAAATAAAGAATGAAGAAGCAAATCCTTAATTAAAATTAACGGTTTCAATGCCGTTGATATAAAAATAGTCACGGTGTCATGCACAAAAATATAATCGTAAAATATTTCTAAAAAATATTTCTTTCAATCCGTTGTTTCTCGCTTTTCTTCCATCCACCTCTTAGATAATTTACATTTCAAGAATTGCATTCAACAAACAATTACTTTATTGTTCA